CAACCTTTTTGACCAATGCTGTATATATATATATATATATATATATATATATATATGTGTGTGTGTGTGTGTGTGTGTGTGTGTGTGTGTGTTTTGATAATTTTTCTCTGTAAAATGAGTGCAATTAAAATGTTTGCTCAAACAGTATTATATATGATACATGTATTATTTATTCAAAGCGAGTGTGCAAATATTTACTGTGTTAGATGTGTATTTTGACCTTATGCAAAACCGCAGCTATTGCCTCGAGATATCAAGCAATATAAGGGAAACCTCAGCGGATTCAACGTTTCTAACCATAGCGAATAATTCCTTAAATCCTTCCATGTAAAACGGAATCCACCAAAGTTGGTGGAATGAGAGAGGAAAGCAAGCTTTATTAAGTTCCATAATTTCTCACGAACCATCTTTGGCTCTTTCTCCATGAGTAGTTTTTCTGCGAGTCCTCTCGGTTTACAAATTTTCAGCGTCTCTGCCTCCTCTGATACTGTTGTTTTTGGCAAGAAAGAGGTCCTTGTTTTTGGTGAACTCGTGGTTTTTGAGATATTCCATGTTGCTTCAGTTTTTCTCCTGCTAGCTTTGGCATTCCCCGGAAACGCTGTGACTCGTAGATTAGCGTCACTAGTTTCACTAATGTTGCGGAAGGTTTGCTTCACAGTTTTCTTGATTTTGTCGTTGCGAATCTGTTAATAAATAGAGATGCAAAAATACTATCAACACTAAACTGTCAATTTGTTTTGTATCAGAGTTCAAATTTTCTAAAATTATTGACATGTGGTCATGTAAATTCTGTTCCTGTGCATATAAGCAAACAAAGTCAAATATTTTGTTCTTTTTTTTTTCAGTAAGAAAAACATATGAATAAGTATCTGCTATATTGTGTCCGCTATGCTTTTTTCAAATTGTATAACCTGCACCATGTCTTACTTCAGTGGCAGATTATGGAGTTTTAAATAGCCAAAAGAAAAAGTTGTTTGATCACTTAATTTTCTTTTTTATATGAATTTTGATTTTGATTTTTGATAAATGAATGTTATCTTGTAGTATGTTTTGTGCTAAAGAACAACAGTAATGGACCTCAGGTTGCCTAACTCATGAGAGTGGGGTTGTCCCTGGGCGTGAATGATTCAATTGTCTCAATTGAAGAATTATTGCATCGTTACTTTTAATATAACCTGCACAACGGCAGATTTGAAAAAAAAAATTAATGATTATTATAAATATTCAATGTTCAGGTACCGACATTAATATCCACGAAACAGGGCCCCTAGGGTTGAACGCCCTTCCACAATTTCTTCCTCCTTAATTGGAGAGTCTTGTTAATTTTATTCCATTAAATCATCCTTAATTACGTAAGGGTATATGGTGTTTATTTATTTACTTTTTTACAATAATATACATGTATAACTTGGGTCCAGCGGGGTTGTAGTACCGCCTTCTGCAACCAACTCACTACTAGAGAGCGAACATGATAATGTAGATATTACCATTACTGTCTCTCCCTTTGTAAGACCCGTCTCCTTAACATGCACCTTTCCAACNATTGGAGAGTCTTGTTAATTTTATTCCATTAAATCATCCTTAATTACGTAAGGGTATATGGTGTTTATTTATTTACTTTTTTACAATAATATACATGTATAACTTGGGTCCAGCGGGGTTGTAGTACCGCCTTCTACAACCAACTCACTACTAGAGAGCGAACATGATAATGTAGGTGTTACCATTACTGTCTCTCCCTTTGTAATACCCGTCTCCTTAACATGCATCGTTCCAAATGCTATGTCGTTGCGTCTGATTTCTAAAAGAAAAAAAAAAACAGATTTGATATAGTGTTAACATTTCCGGAACATCAATCAAACTAGTCACCGATCCTGGAAAACGTACGAGAGAGAGAGAGAGAGAGAGAGAGAGAGGTCAGAAGATATACTGCTATTGGTGAAAACAACGCTTCAATCAGATATTCTAAAGGAATTACATGTATATAAAATGACACGATAGTGGTAGTGGATTCGTGTATAAAGTTATATTTTACTCACTTAGAGACACATAAGCCATCCATGCTATTATTCCGAGAGTGAAAAGAGCAATACTTCGAATTACTACCGACCTTGTGTTCATGCTCTCTAACAAAATAAATAAATGAATAAATAAATAAATAAATGAAATTATTAGAAAAGCACTCAGAAAGGGCAAACCTCTACAAAGACAAATAATTAAGTAATTAACCATTATAAATGGATTACCACGAAAATCTAGCGATTTGTTCCTCGGTTCAATTCTGACCTATTCTAAATATTTCATCAAAGCTACTCATATCTCTTTGCTTAATGTTTCTGATAAAAAAGGCGAATGGAACCGAAAACATAACCTTTTTTGCGAAGGTAATAAATATCAGTAAAGGCCTTATTCTGTTCCATGGGCCTCGCACTTTTTCTAATTAAAACGTGGGGACTATTTGTGGCATTAACGTTATGTCATCCTTACGTACCTATCAGTGTCTTTTTGCAGAGAAGGATGTACATGTAAATGCTATGATGTATGTTCTCAGGTTTTGATAGCAGAAAAGTAAGCCAGCTTGGAATTGACCTGTCCAGAGAGCACGGTTAGGGTTTACTGAACCACCAACAGCCATTTATTATGTGTTTACAGATTTGACTTTAAGTTGGAGTCAGTGACAGTTCACGGCCTTTGACTTTTATATATGTAGGTGATGGTTACCAAGTTTGATAAACCGATAACCCCCCACCCCCACCCCCCGTATAAGGTCCTTTTCTACTTCTGATCAGCTTTACCAAAAACACCAGCACTGTTGAGAAGCTAGAGTCTAAGGAAGCCAACATAGCCCTCCCCAACCGCTACTAACAGCTGATCCATATACATGTACATACTCCTGCCGGTAACAGTGTAAAAAATGAAGGTTTGTCTAAATATAGCAGAATAATTAATTAGAATGATTAATACAACTATATTTGCCTTCTCTACCCATATTCTATGAATGCTCATTTGGAACCAGGATGAGGTTAAGGTTAAGATACCAGTATAAATCTTTTGAATTAAGTGTGCCACTGCCAGTGCAATNACCCCCCCCCCCCCCCCCCCCCGTATAAGGTCCTTATCTACTTCTGATCAGCTTTAGCAAAAACACCAGCACTGTTGAGAAGCTAGAGTCTAAGGAAGCCAACATAGCCCTCCCCAACCCCTGCAAAACAGCTGATCCATATACATGTACATACTCTTGCCGGTAACAGTGTAAAAAAATGAAGGTTTGTCTAAATATAGTTGAATAATTAATTAGAATGATTAATACAACTATATTTGCCTTCTCTACCCATATTCTGTGAATGGTCATTTGGAACCAGGATGAGGTTAAGGTTAAGATACCAGTATAAATCTTTTGAATTAAGAATGCCACTGCTAGTGCAATATAACGTACACGTTTTTTAGGCACGGCACCTATACTGATATACTCATTATACTGTTATCAATGCAAAGACCCAATTGGGACCTGGTCTAGCCCAGTGAGTAACTGGACGAGATTGGGATCTGTGACATCAAGCTTTCGGGAGGAACGTGTATGTATATGAAAAGCATTGAAATGGACAAGATTCCATTGGAATGAATTATGCACTCGGCAAAAATGTAACACATTATTTGATACTACAGACTTACTTGACATTTAATATGGAACATTTTTTCACAACATTTTTCTTTGATTTTTTCTCCTACTTATCCGACCTATGGATGAAAACAAGGATTTGAATGTTGTTTTAATAACTTTTTCTAATCTTTTCATGATAATTGTGTTCTTTAACTGAAATCAACTCATTAAGCAAACAAAAAATATATGGTTGATTCTTAGTCAAACAGCAACCATTAAAAGCGTTATTTCGATCCCCATATTTTCCAAATTATCATCTGTGAAAAAGTTAAATGCTTCAAAAAGGACGCTCGTATCAGTGTCTAGTCACAGCAACGCTCAGTGGTGCGTCTGGCCTCTGCTACTGTGGCTCTAAAATGGTAAAGTATTCCTTCAGACAGGTTTCTTGGAGTTTGAATAGGAATATTTTTCCGAGCGTCGGTCGGAGCTTGTCCAATTTGGTTCAGATTTGTTGTAGGACCAGTAGGCCATCGGCGAGTACTACTGGTAGCTTTCCAGGCTTTAAATCTAGCAATTTTGACGGTACTAGCGGTAGCTGCTCAGACCTTTGGTTCTGCAAGTAATCTGCAAGTACAGGTGCTATGCGTAGACGGATATCTTCAACTTGTAATGTTAAAGTGTTCCTGAGGTGCCCTCTAGCAAATGTAAGGTAGTTGGTTTCCAGAATATTCCTGTTTTTGTTCTGGTTAATGTTTCTATATATGACTACCAATGAGGTTTTGGCATCAACGTGAAAATTTCCCTAAGTAACATGCTCCCACCTGACCAAGTTGCTCTGGGAGCGACACACACTTAGTTGTAGGTTTCTTTGGAATGTCTGAGAACTCTCATTTGACCACCTTGGAAGTTTACATGAAATCTAAGTTTCCATTATTGTGCCCAAACACTTTTTAAATAGTTCCCAATTCATTGCAAAAATAGACGGCGATATGCGCTGTTCAAAGAGGGTTCCTCAGAGGTTGCATAGTATAGTGACCTGCTCAAACCAGTCTGGAAATTACAAAAAGCCTTGAAAACGCTTTTTGGAGACAATTTGCCACTCATTCTGAGGGGAACTGGCTGTCTTTGTTTATTTGTAGCGGCAAAATCGTAAAAACAATGGATTTTGTTTCCCGGTGGTAAGTGCTGGATGTCTTGGGCGTGGCCTGTGTGGAGGCACACCAGCCTGGGCATACGTCTGTAAGCCTTTGCAGAGCTCTCCTTGCGACACAACAATCTGTCAGGCAATGTATATCTGTTTTGCGCGATTCTGGCGCAGAGCAACAATGCTGTCACACTTTGCTTCGCTTTTTTTTACGCACGGTAACATCCTCTACTGTAAAATTTCAAAATCTGCGCGATCTTTGCTGAAATATCGAGCATTTTTTTGGACGGAGCCATGCTCTGTAATAGTCATGCTTAGAACAGTCCAAAGATTGCTACCCAAAGAAATCAACACATTTTGTAATGCAGCCGTGCTTACGACAAAGCAGTCATTTAATTGTACTGACACACCTGACTGCGCATTCAGTTATTCTCAAAATCATATGAGATGCACGTTTAAGAAATAAATAATACATTTTTACCTAGACATACCTATGAATATAAAATATTCCATATTAAGTGTCAAGTCTGTGATACATTACAATTGGGTCAATATAAAGCAGTATTAAAGTTATCAAATGCTCAGGACATGGCATTATGTCACATAATCTAAACTAGGTACAAATCATCTCTATATTATTATTACGTAAACACCTACTTTGACTACTTACCTGTTTATATGAAACCGTTCGTCATCAGCTACAGAACTGACATAATTCACTATCAAACTGATTGAACATGCATATCTACTGAACTTGCTTTCAATTTAATGCTTTCATAATATCATTGTTCATACGGTTAAATATTTCTCCACTTACTAGGTGCGACGAAGTAGCTTGAATAGCCTCTTCTAAATGGTATTAATGATAAGGTTAAATTTGGAATGAATGTTTGTACGTTTTACGTCCTCGCTTTTTGACGTCGAAGTATATACAGCCACCTGCATTTTACAGTGCATTATTTAACTTTTGATGATAAATCATCGTGCAAGTCTGTACGCCCCTATATAGTTTTTGCATTGAACGTTTGTGGCTGTCATGTTTAGAAAAGCGAATATAAGTCTGCTTTTTATTGAATGAAAGACCTTGATATTTTTAATTGCTACACAGTACAGTTAGAATTGTATTCATAGCGGAAACTAACAAATCCATGAAAACAAAAGTCACATTATAACCCAGAAAAGCCGTCTTTTTTTGCAATCAAAGGGGCTAAGTGAGGCTTTCCCACGTGACGCACTGGATGTGGGCTGAACACAGCAGCAGTTCTTCAGGGTTGCTGGATGCCTGGATGATACCATGGTTCTCACGTCACGAGATGGGGCACCTGTATGTCTGAACAACATAGCAATTGTGCTGAAAAAAAAAAATTAAATTTGATATGAAATAAACGGAGCGACCCAAATAATGAAAAAATATCGAAAAAAAAAGACTCATTCTCCGTTGCTTTCTATGTTTCAGTATCCATTTGCAAGAGGTGACTTAAGGGATACTACAAACTTCATAGTGACAGTTCTCACAGTACTCGTATGCTGAGTGATATGTTGCAGCAATGCAATGTTCTGTGGAGGGAACGACCTTTTTTTAGCTCTGATAATAACCTTATTGTGCCCCTTGGTCATTGATTGGAGTTAACAATGCGGAGGAGATTCAACACCCTAAAAATCTGGACTCATTCCGCCAAGCTCGCCGGGAAATTGCTAATCTGTGCCAGAATGGCGGGAAAAAGCCAGACAGATTATTGTGTCACGTATGGGGATTTTTTACCAGTTTCGGATAGCATGATATCGAGCTAATGGAGAGTTTTCAAGGAAACAGTCTTTGTTATGTTACATGGATGGTTTAAAAATCTTTAACTTTTATTGCATGCTTTTAATGTTTTGGCTAAAATATACAAGAGTCCTTATGATAATAAAGTCCACGTGGAATGGGATATTTTCTCCCGAGATAATGGGAAATTTAAGAAAGTGCACGTACCCGTTTTTAATCGTCCTTCTCACCTGCATCATTGCCTATGGAATCTATCAAATTTATTAATAAGTGAAAAGGGTTGGTCCAATGTTAAGATTGGTTAATATTCTTCTGACTTAATGTTTATAACCCTGAATTGAACAATAAATAAATAAATAAATAAAATAAAATAAAAAATAGCCTTTTACGCCGCTTCATTCTAGGACCTTAACAGATTATTCTTACTTTAAATCTAGATCATAACCAAATATATCTGCGTCAGTTTTATACATAGTATGTAGCTCTTTGATCATCCAAGGTTTAAGAGTCTGGAAATGTTTGGAGACCAAATCCTTGGTCTTTTTCGCAAAGTCAACATTGTCTGATTGCGGATAGGTGATTTCGTCAATCCCTAACATTTTCAAAAGATTGTTGGAATCCTCAACAATGGTTTCGTATCTTCCTATGACTTCATAATCGACGCTGCAGGGGTGGCACAAGGAGTGCTGAATACCCCAGTGGACATCAGGATGCATTTTGGTATCTATCACATACTGGATATATTCTGGGAATGTTACATTGTACTCCATCATCATTTTATGTGTTACGTCCCGTTTTTTGTGGATAGAACGTAAAACGTAGCCTGCAATTCTTGGGTCGTAAATATCATTTTTTGCTCTTTCGAGTTTTTCTCTGAAAAATGAGACCAGTCTCTCGAATGGATGCCTCGTGATAAGAACTTTAGTGTAGTTTTTCAGTCTGGCGTCGCTGTCTGATCTGCTCGTGAATGATTTTAATCTTTTCAACGCTTTGTTTGACCATACGTGGTGAACATCATTCTTTTTTTGGGACCATATGTAAGACTTATTGAATTTGCACGTCATCAGCAGCATGATTCTTTTCCAGTTGGTACAGCCAACTTTAGGAATTTCACAGAAGATGAACTTGTGATTATCATCCACCCAAAACTGATGTAAAGCTCGCCCTGCTGGTAATGGGCTTGTTTTGATTTTGTGTAGCGCACATTTCCGGCGTATGAATTCTTTCCGTTTTACAATTGTCTCTGCCCACGATGTATTAATTGATGAAGCGTTCGTCCTGGGTGAAAGCTGGAAAAAATAGATGAATTAAGAAAGCATATCAGTGTTTTTTACAAAGACACAATTTATAGATTAAAGAAATAAGCCAACTGCTATACAAAGTTTGTTTTGTTCCCGTATATATACATTTTTTCTGACGATTCTACTCGGATGCGTTGTCAATTTGACTTTGTTGATAATTTGTTGATAATTTTTCTCGGTAAAATGAGTACAATTTAAATGTTTGTATCAATCACATTATATAGGATATATGTATTATTTATTCAAAGCGAGAGTGCAAATATTCACTGTGTTGGATGAGTATTTTGACCTTATGCAAAACCGCCGCAATTGCGTTTAGATATTAAGCAATATAAGGGAAACCTCAGAGGATTCAACATTTTAGTAAACATGTCGAGTACTTCCTTAATGCGTCCATGTAAAACTAAATCCACCGAAGTTGGTTGATTGAGAGAGGAAAGCAAGCTTTATTAAGTTCCATACTTTCTCACGAACCATCTTTGGATCTTTCTCCATGAGTAGCTTTTCTGCGAACCCTCTCGATTTACAATTTTTCAGCGTTTCTGCTTCCACTGTTGTTTTTGGCAAGAACGATGTCCTCGTTTTTGGTAAAGGCTTGGTTTTGGAGATATTCCAAGTTGCTTCAGTATTTCTCCCACTAGTTTCGGCTTTCCCCGGAGACGCTTTGGCTTGCAAATTAGCTTCACTAATTTCAATAATGTTGGGGAAAGTTTGCTCTTCAGTTTTTTCATATTTGTCCTTGCCAATCTGTTAATAAATAGAGATGCCAAAATACTATCAATACTAAACTCATTTTGTTTTGTATTAGAAATTTGAACTTTCAGTTAGACTTTAAGGGACAAAATTTCCTAAAATTATTAACATGTGGTCATGTAAATACTGTTGCTGTGTATATAAGCAAACCAAGTCAAACAATTTTTTTCTTTTTTTCAGTAAGAAAAAACATACATGAATAAGTATTTGGTATATGTGTCTGACATTGTATAACCAGCTCCATTTCTTACTTCAGCGTCAGATTATGACGTTTCAAATAATGGGCACCAAAAGAAAAAGTTGGTTGGTCACTTAATTTTCTTTTTTATATGAATTTTGATTTTGACGTTGATTTATGATAAATGAATATTATGATAAATGAATATTCTGGCACCTTCACGCATGCGCAGTAGTATCTCTATTGCAATCGGATCATGAAGGTTCCACTCATATCTGTCGTGTGTATATGCATCTCATCTTCTTCGTCTTGTTGTTGCACAAAATCGACAAACACATTTTCAAAGCAACCGCGACCGCCATTTTCTCTCTTTAACTTATTACTACGCATGCGCAAGGTGCCAGAATCTCCTCCAAGCGCAGCCGAGAATAAATTACAGCTTTGGAAGTGACTCGCTCGCGCTGCTAGTTAATTACGCAGCGGGGTATTCAGCGCGCAGACCATGATCACTAGATACCACCAATGGATTTTTGGATTTTTAGAATTTAGATTTTTCATGTGAACGGTGCCTAATATCCATGGAACAGGGTCCCAGCGTCCTTTCACAATTTGTTTCCTCCTTAATTGGAAAGTCTTGTTAATTTCATTCCAATACATTTTCATCCTTGATTACATAAGGGTATACGGTGTTTTTTTTTTTTTTTTTTTTTTTTAACAATATGGTAGGCCTAGATGTATAAAATGGGTCACTGCATCCCAGCGGGGTTGTAGAACCGCATTTTGCAACCAACTCACTACTAGAGAGCGAACATGATAATGTAGATGTTACCATTACTGTCTCTCCCTTTGTAAGACCCGTCTCCTTAGCATGCTCATCAACTGCTGTGTCGTTGCGTCTGATTTCTAAAAGAGAAAAACCAGATTTGATATAGCGGTAGCAGTTCCCAAACATTAATCATACAAGTCACTTATCCAGGAAAACTTGAACAAAATTACGAGAAAGAGAGAAAGAGAGAGAGGTCAAAAGATATACCGCTATTGTTTAAAACATAGCACTGTAATCAATCAAATATTCTAAAAGAAATTGCATGTATATGAAATGAAATGATAGTGGTAGTGGATTCGTGTATTAATTCATCATTTACTCACTTAGAGACGCATAAGCCATCCATGCTATAATTCCGACAGTGAAAATAGCAATACCTCGAATTACTACCGACCTGGTCTTCATGTTCTCTAACAAAAATAAATAAATTAAAAAAAAAAGAAATTAGAAAAATTCTTTGCAGAGAAGAATGTTCATGTAGATGAAAAAAGAGAACCACCAACACCAATTTATTATGTGTTGATAGATTTTACTTTATGTTGAATTCTGTGACAGTTCACGGCCTTTGACTTTTATATATGTAGGTGATGGTTTCCAAGTTGGATAAACCGATAGCCCCCCCCCCTCCATATAAGGTCCTTTTCTATTTCTGATCAGTTTTACTATACACAGCAGCCCTGTTGAGAAGCTATAGACTATGGAAAACAGAGTCTATGCAAAACATCTGATCCATATACATTCACCTACAACTGTATTTGTCTTTTCTACGCATAATCTATAAATATTCATTTCGAACCAGGTTAACTTTAAGATACCAGCATATATCTTATGAATTAATAATGCCACTGCTAGTACGATATAATGTATACGTTTCTCAGGCACGGCACCTTAACATTATACTGATATACTAATTATAATGTTAACAATGCAAAGATCCAATTGGAATCTGGCCTAGAACAATTGGGATCTGGTCTAGCCCAGTTAGTAACTGGACTAGATTAGGATCTGTGACATATAATAAATACATCGAGCTTTCAGGAGGAACTTTTATGTATATGAAAAGCACTCAAATGGAGAGGATTTCACTGAAATGAATTATGTACTCGGCAAAAATCCGCATGAAAATGGCTGTTAGAAATGTAACACATCATTTGATAATACAGACTTACTTGAGATTTAATATGGAATATTCTTTTTCAAATCATTTTTCTCTGATTTTTTCCCTACTTATCCGACTATATACAGATGAAAACAGGGATTTGAATCTTGTTTTAATAACATTTACTAATTTTCATGATTATTGAGAGATCAGTTCTTTATCTGAAATCACCCAATTAAGCAAACAAAAATACATGGCTGATTCTTAGTCAAACAGCAACCATTAAAAGCGCTATTTCGATCCCCATATTTTCCAAATCATCATCTGTGAAAGAGTTAAACGCTTCACAAAGGACGCTCGTATCAGTGTCTAGTCACAGCAACGGCCAGTGGCACGTCTGGCCTCTTCTGGCTGCTACTGTGGCTCTAAAACGGTAAGGTATTCCTTCTGACATGTTTGTTAGAGTTTGAATGGGAATATTGATCCGGGTTTCGGTCGGAGTTGTCCAATTTCCTTCAGATTTGTTTTAGGACCAGTAGGTCATTGATTTGGCGGGTACTGGCTACCCACATTTTGTTTATAGGCTTCAAATCTAGCAATCGTGATGGCCGCTTCTCACACCCTTGGTTCTGCAAGTAATCTGCACATACAGGCGCTATTCGTGGACTGATATCTTCAACTTGTAATGTTAAAGTGTTCCTGAGTTGCCCTCTAGCTAAGGTAAGGTAGTTGGTTTCCAGAATATTCCTTTTTGTTCTGGTTAAGGTTTCTATAGATGACTAACAATGAGGCTTTGTCATCAACGTGAAATGTGCCCCAAATACTGATGCTCCCACCTCCCCAAGTCGCTCTGGGACTGACATGACGCTTAGTTGTAGGTCTCTTCGGAATGTCTGAGAACTCTTATTTGGCCACTTTGGCAGCGGTATAGATAAAATCTATGTTTCCAGTATTGTGCCCAAACACGTTTATGGTCCCCAATTCATTGCAGAAATAGAAGACGATTTTGCGCTGTTCACAGAGGGTTCCTCAGATATTGTATGGTATAGTAACCTGTTAATAAGTCTGGAGATTACAATGGCCCTTGAAAAAAGCTTTTTTGGTGACAAGTTGCCTCTTATTCTTCGGGGAACTGGCAGTATTTGTTTATTTGTAGCAGCAAAATCGTACAAACAATGGATCTTGTTTCTGGTGGCAAGATCTGGATACCTTGGGCGTAACCTGTGTCGAGGTACATTAGTCTGGGCATACCTCTGTAAGACTTTGCAGTGCTTTCCTTGCGACACAATGATCTATCTGACGATTTCTATCTGTTTTGCCCCATTCTGGCGCAGAGCAACAATGCTGTAACACTTTGTTTCGATCAGTTTACGCACGGTAACATCTTCTATTTGTATGCAAAATGCCCATATCTTCTGCGCAGTCTTTGTTGAAATATCGAGACTTTTTTGGACTGAGCCATGCTCTGCCATAGTCAAACTAAGTAGTTGGAACTCCTTGAGACCAGTCGAAAGAGTGCTACCCAAAGAAATCACCACACATTGCGTTATGCTTCAGACAAGGCAGTCAGTTAATTGTAATGACACATCTGACTACACATTTATTAATTCTCATAATTTACATGAAATTCACGTTTTAAAAATATATAATATATTTTTACCTAGACATGCCTTTGAAACGAAAATATTCCGTATTAAATGACAAGTCAGTGGTACATTATTATTATAATCAGTGTCAATTAAGAGCAGTATTAAAGTTATCAAATGCTAAGGATATCGCATTATGTCACATAATCGTAACGTAGTCCAAATCATCTCTTTATTACAATATAATTACTTAAACATACCTATTTGGACTACTTACCTGTTTATATGAAACCGTTTGTTATCAGCTACAGGACTGAAATAATTCACTATCAAATTGATCGAATATGCATAATTTACTGAACTTGCTTTCAATTTGATGCTTTTATAACATCATATAAGCCATTGTTGTTCATTTAGTTAAATATTTTTGAACTTACTAATTGTGATGAAGTAGATTGAAGAGCCCGTTCTAGATGGTATAAATAATAAGCCTTAAATTTGGAATGAATTTTTGGACGTTTAACGTCCTTGCTTTTTGATGTATACCGTATACAGCCACCTGCATTTTACAGTGCTTATTTAAATTTTTGATGTTTAATCATCGTGCAAGTCAGTGCGCACCTTTATAGTTTTTTGTATTGAACGTTTGTGGCTGCTATCTCTTGAAAAGTGAAAATAAGACCTTGACATTTTAAATCGCAACACAATACTGTTAGAATTGTATTCAAAACAGAAACTAACAAATCCTTGAAACCAAAAATCACATTATAACCCCGAAAAGCCAACTATTGTGCAATCTAAGGAATTAGCTGAGGCTTTCCCGCATGACGCACTAGATGTGGGCCGAAAAAAGTTTAATTTGATATAAATTAAAAATTGAAAAAAATATCGAAAAAAACTCTGGGCTTTCTCTGAGCTTTCTCTGTTTCAGTTTCAGTATCCATTTGCAAGAGTTGATTTAAATGGTACAGCAGGCTTCATCGTGACAATGCATTTGCTCACAGTTCTGGTAAATTGAGTGATTTGTTTCAGGAACGCAATGCTCTGAGGATGGAATGGCATTCTTTGAGCCCTAATAATAACCCTATTGTGCTCCTTCGTCACTGATTGGAGAAAGCAATTTAGAGGAGATTCAACTCCCTAAATAATCTGTAGCCACTCTACCGAGCGCACCAGTAACAAAATTGTTAATCTGCATCAGAATGGTCTGAAAAAGGCAGACATTGCCAGACAGATAAGTGTTTCACAAGGAACGGTCCACACAGTTTTATAGAAATATGCCCAGACTGATGTACTTACAGAGAGGCCACGCCCAATGGATCGAAATCTATACTGCCTAAACTAAACAGAGACCACCCATTCCATTCAGAATGAGGGGCAAATTGCCATCAGAACGCGTTTTTCAATTACAAGGCCCTTAGCGACCACCAGACTGGTTTCAGCAGGTTAGAATACCAGGCGACCTCTGAGGAAGCCACTGTAAACAGCAAAACATCGTCGTCTGTTTCTAGAATGAATTGGGGACCATGACCGATTTTCGGTAGAATACTGATATCGCGTGGCTCTCTTAATTGAGGTCAGATTTCACCTGAACTGTTCAACTAGTCATAATAGAAGTTACAGACATCCTGAAGAGGCCTGCCACGTCTAGAGTGCCTAGGGTCATTGGCTGCATCAGTATTTGGAGTGAATATTAAAATGGGGCCAAAACATTAAAGGTAGTAATCGATGAAAAAACCTGAACCAAACAAGGAAACAATCTGGGAACCACTCGTCCACCAGTTGCTATAGGGGGCACCTTAGGAACAATTTTTAGTTGTACAATGAAAATGCCGGTTAACACAAAGCACCTTCAATCACAGACAACTTACAGAACCATTAAGATCGCCAGATTTGAACCACATAGACAATATGTGGGTAGGTCTGATCGACGAATCAACTGCCTACTGGTCCTACAACAAACCTGAACCAAATCGGACAAGTTTTGACCGATGCCTGAAATGTTATTCTTGATTAAACCCTTCAAACCTATCTCAAGGAATGCCTTGCCGCTTGAGAGCCCTGGTAGCAGCCAGTTGAGGTCAGACGCACTAGCGACCGTTGCTGTGACTAGACACTGACATGATGGTCCTTTGTGGGGCGTGTAACTCTATGATGATTTGGAAAAGATGGAGATCCAAAATATCGCTTTTTATGGTTGTCATATGACTTAGCATCAGCAATGTATTTTTGTTTGCTTCACTGGCGATTTCAATTAATGAACTGATGTCACAATGACATCAAAGAGATTATTAAAAGTTATTAGAACACGATTTTAATCTTTTTCATTATCAGTCAGCAAAATAGGAAAAAACCGATGAAAAAAGATTTGGGAAAATTACCATATTAAATGTCAAGTCTGTAGATAAACGACAACGCATTAGTCTCTATTTCCATCACACAAAATTAGAAACTTTATATCTAAAACTTGGTGTGGAGATGACTTTTTCACCGGTTTCAGATAGAGTGATATCGGAGTTTTCAAGGAAATTGTTTTTGTTATGTTACATAATGGTATAATAATCTTTTTAAAGTTAAAACTTCTATTGCATATTTTTATTTATTTGGCTAAATATGTGCTAAGTATACAAGGATCCTTATGATAATTAAGTCCATGTGTAATGGAGTATTTTCTCCCTAGATAATGGTCAATTTTTGAAGATGCGCGTACCTCCTTACCT